ACGTGTCCTTTTTCTTTCCCTTTGGTATGGCTGCAAAGCTGTTTTATCAAACGTCTCTAAAAACCTCCTAAATCCTAAACCTCTTGTTTCTTCACTTCACACCACTTGATTTTGTAACTTAGCTTCACTCAAATTTGCCTTAAATATTTGGATATATACATATATCAATGCCCACTGGCTTTCACTGTGTGCTGAAAGTTTATTGTTATTATTTCCTACTCAGTAGCCTTGTCTGCAGTAATTTGTAGTAATATTCTTGTTGCAGAAACCTTTGTGTGTCCCCCCATACACATCATTTGCCCTGTGTCTCATTCTCAGGTTCAGTCACTGAGATCATCAAGCTTGGCACAAATAAAACAGTTGCAGTTTGTTTGAAGCCTGGAAATTTCTGGAATTTCTCCATTTGTTTCAGATGTCATTTTCCTGACATGGAAATAATTGAAAAAAAATGTATTGAAATAAGAAATGGAAATGATGAAAGCTTGAATGAATTCAGAGATATGATATTTTAAATTTTATTTTTTAGTGAGGAGTTCAGGCTCCTACCTTGCCTGTTTTTTCTCTGTTTTATCACAAAGCTTGCCTGCTTTTTTTTTCCTTTTTATTACTGCTGCTGAAGTGACTTGTCAGCCTACAGAAACCTAATGCATGCTTTGTTTTCCTTTAGGCACTCAGTGTTACTGAAACTCTGATCAAACCTCTGGAAAGATTTAGGAAGGAGCAGCTAGGAGCTGTAAAGGTTTGTCCCTCATTGCCTCTGTGATAAATTTGTTTAATTTCTCTCCTTGGATTGCCTTGCTGTAATGACATGTACTTGGCAGAGAGATGCTGTTGTTTATATTTCATGTGTTCACACTTCTTTTTTTTTCCTACTTTGAGAACTTGCTTCAGAAACAAATGGAAAATATGTTTCCAGAAGAAAAGAATGTGTCCTTTCCCTCCTTCTCTCCTCCCCCTCCCTTAACTCTTGTGTCTGGAACAGGAGAGATGCTGCTTGCAGCCAAACCCCCTTCCTAATGGGTCACTTTATTCTGCTTTTATTTGCTTCCAGTTGCACAAAAAAAGGCTGAAAAATATTAACTCCCCAAAGGAGCTCTCTCATCCTTGTGCCTTCAGCTGTATTTTTTGCAACCTGCAAATTGAAAGTGGTGTTTATTTTATTTTAGCTTTGAATAAATAACTCCTTGCCTCCATAGGAGTGGGAAAAATAGAGATGGAGAGGCTAAAGACAAGGTCTCATTCAAAATTTGGGTTTTTTTTTGGTGAAAGTGTCCAGTAGTTTTCTTTTTAAGCTTGTCACTATGTTGTGTATATTAAAAAAAAAGGCAAAATAAACTACACATATTAAATCCACCAGCTGTGGATAAAAGTATCCCTTCTTTCAGTGAGAAATTTAAATGCTTACTAAAAAAAAACCCCACCAAACCAGCTAATTAACAGCCTTCAGTTGCAAAACTTGAGTCATACCTTTTAAATTAACCACTCTGGGGTGTTTTATTTCATAATTTCATTACTTCATCAGCAGTAGCATTTAACAGCTAAGATAGTTTCAATTCTGAGAGCACTATGATGCATTTTGACTTCAGC